CTTTATCTAAGTTCACATCCTTCTTTTTTATGGAACAAAGCACACTCGTAAGCAAATTTTTTTGTCTGAGAACCAATCTTAATTGCAATGCTTAATGTTGCAAACAGAGTGTTTTGTTGTAATCGGATTTTGACAGTTTTTCTTTATCCAAAGGAAAATCAGATGTAATGTTTGTTATAAACCACTCCCACCAAATATGCTCTTTGTGTTAAAATTGTATATATACTCAAAGCTATAACTAGATGATCATCATTTCCTTTTCAAACACTCAACCAAGGACTGCAACTGCACCATACATTGTATCCTCTACTCTCCGATGAATATTTTTACTACTGTTCTCTGCGTTATTACAACCTACTATCCTCTACGAGTTAATAATTTTCTCCTGAACCGAACGAAGAATATCTTCTCAGAATATTTGTCTGTGCCTCAGAACAAACCCTTCCAAATCTAACCCGACAAACCAACTTTTTCAATTTTTCCTACATATATGATGAGAAACAGTACCGTTTTATTGACGTCGAATATTTGGATAATGAAGATCGCTGTAATAATAAGTATGGCGAAACAAATTATTGCTACCATGAGGTTCAATGCAGTGAATGACCAAACGCGTGGATCATTTAAAAGTTTTATGATTATCTGTAAATAATGACCAGAACCAATTTGACAAAAAAACAACGTAAAATAGTTTTAATAGAACGATTTTACTTTACTATTTTAATTTATTCAAATTTAATTCAATTCTATTCAATATAAATTGAATCTGGTAAGTGTTGGGGTGTAAATATTTAATTGGCGTGTTATCTACAATTTCATATCATTCGCAATGTTAAACATCGTTTTATCGATTGTTAAAGTAGCAATCGAAGTCTTTAAGTAAGTAATACCTTCTTGGTGCGTGATTTTGTGTGAAAGTGACTATAATCTTCATCGGTCAAATCAGAAAGCTGGAACCAATTGCTTTTATCTCCCCATTCAGTTGCTCTTATTATTTTCGATCTTTTGAATTAATTTGATTTCTACCTTTCAAATAATTAAAGAGATTTGAAATGAAATTAGCTTTGTAATCTCAACAAGAGTGGTACTTCAGTCCGACTCTTTTTGGTAGTGATAACCAATACCCATAACAAGAACAGCTAGCCATTTTAGTTATGTTGCAACTATTGTAACTTCGTCAGAAATTTGTTGGTATTTAAGAATGCAAAGGATAGACTCCGTCAGTAAGTTCGCCCTCTTGAATTTGAGATCGTTCTTGAAGCGTATCATCGTTCAATATCGAGCCAGGCGGTTGCACTGCTTTTGGCTCCAGTAGTGCTGATCTTCGGGCATATGCTCGTGTGATCGCTCTTGTATACAAATTTCTCTCGTCACTGTCTATTGCAATAGCAAAGGTTATTCAAGGAAAAAGGAAAAGTCGGAAAAAGTTGCTGGTATCATTCTATAACTTCCTTTACCCATTCAACTACTTATTATTCTGAGGTTCTCCCCTTTCAAGACTTTAACGTCCTCTCTGCTTAATTTTCTTCTTTTCTTTGTCTGATCCTTAATACCAAATCTTTTGGGATTTCTTGCAAACCTTAAATTTGTTTAATCCAGTGCTGTGATATAATTACTAAACATTTGAAACGAAAAAAAGAATATTACTATCTTGAGTTTTTGGCTTCATTGAATCGACTGGAGTGTTCTTAGGAACAGTTTGCATTCTTTCCGGTTCTTTTCAAAACAGACCGATGAAAGCAAATGCATTAGCTGGAATGACTAATTTATTATGCCTTATCTGACATTTTGCAACCAAGTAATAATAAACTAGTATAAATTTGCATGATGAAGACGAAGGTGAACTTATAAGCCAAGGAAAAGAGTGGACAAAACAACCAATGCTTACGAAAACAACAGCTCTCTCCGTTTTTGATTCACTTTTCATAGAGCGAGACTTTATTTACAAAATTTTTCCTTGCATTTGTAGTCGTATTTTTTTGCTTAATTTTTTCCTGACCTTTTCTCTATTTCGTTTCCTAATGCCTTTTCAGTCTTCCTGACCTCATCTATGGCACTTTTCCTACTTCAGTCCAATTTCATTTTCTATTTAGCTTCTCAAATATTATACAAAACTATTTCTTGCGTGATTATTCTGTTTGCGCATAAATCCCCCAATCAATAAGAAGCCCAATTAAAGCAGTGTCGTGTAAGAGCTGCAAGATATTAAATACCCGCTATCATCAGGAAATACCTCATTTTGGTTCGAACTGCTGCTCAGATTTCTTCCATACATAAGATAATGGCGTTTTTCAATTCATGTTTGCACTTGTTTAGAAAGCTTAGAGCGAATAAGGTGGACTAGGCCACATTGCAATCATATTTATGCTGTTTATTAAAGTGTGGCTGGTGGATAAAGGTTGGCCTGTTTTTTCAGCTATGTAGCCATAAGTGAGTACTTCCTTCTTTGTATGACGGAGCCAGAAATACTTCTAACTTCCGAAATGCATTTTTCTAGTGGTCTTCTCAGCATTGAGACTGATCGGGTGCAATGAAATGTAACGATTTTAAAAACAAAAAACGAATGAAGCATATTAAGTTTGATTTGGGAAATGTGAAGACATAAAAAAAATGACACTGCTCCTGACCGAATCGAGTATATCGAGTTGATTTTCAGTAACCATTTTCAACCTTTAACCTTGCAAATCCAATAAGAGAAAATGCCAAAACAAATAAAAGTATTTTACTGCCTCGTTTAAATCCTTTCTACAATATGTTCTAAAGCTATAATATCTCCGTAAGGAACAGAATTAACTCTGCAAATCCAAAAAAAGAGGAAATGTCAAAGCAATTTTACCGTCTCGTATAAATGTATCTCTTCCTTTTTATCTTGCTTAATCCAGAAATTTTTTCATCATTTTTCTCAAAACTGTAGGGGAATTTTTCAAAATTTTAGCAGAAGTCTAATTTTTGTTTTATTCCGTTTGCCAGCATTATTAAAGTAAGTTCATCTGCTAAGTCAGTCTTTAAGATTCAGGATTTCTTTTTTGAGAAGGGAAGTGGATTTGAAACTCTTCAAATTTGAAAATGTCTGAGCGGGAATCGGGAGATAGAACTGGGACTTATATGTCTAAGAGTCTTGCAGAGAAATATTTCATCCACAATTGATGTTGAGATTCTAAAAAATTCAGCACTGGAAACTAGGTTCAAATGTTCCTTTCGTAAATTTGAATTGTTCTACTTTCATTTTATGCTTTTTTGCCCTAAACCTCTAATCTTTGTAAATGGCCGACAACTGCGCAAAAAAAAAGCGAAAAAAGACTAGGGATGACTTCTTAAAATTTACTTTTGTTTTTGCTCATTTACAAAGGATGAAGAAAATACAGAAAAATATGCAGATGCAACAGGTCCAGTGCAGTGATGTGGTGCAGCATTCGTCAGTACTGTCGACAAAGCATGGAAATTTATGTCAAGCCTATGAGACAATAATTCGACATTGCGGCGATGATTGCAGGCGTCCAGGATTAATCAAAACTCCTGAAAGAGCTGCCCGAGCTATGCTTTTCTTCACCAAAGGCTATGACGACAGTTTGGACGGTGAATTTAGTACCCATTTTAGACTTCCGTTTCTCATAGTGTATTTTCAACTTCTGTTTCAGCAAAATAATCATACGGAAAGAATGTTATTGTTGAGATTTGACTTGTACACGAAGGCATTTTAGTAGTAAAAAGATTTTGAGAATCAAATAAAATTTTGTTGAATAGATTCTGAGATCTATTGAATGAAACAGAATTTTTTCCCATTTTGTTCGAAATTTTCCATGAAAACGTCATGTTATTAAATTGCTACAAAAATAAATGAAGAGAATGCAGTTTAATTGACTTGTTAAGGTTAAAGGATGGCAAAGTTTATTAATTTCAAAATAGCTAAGGCTATTAAAGTAGCTTAGGGATCGGCATTCTGTTGGCTTATTACAACTTACTTATAGATTTGATTAACGGAGCAGTGTTTAACGAAGATCATGATGACATGGTAATCGTCAAGGATATCGAGATTTTTTCCTTGTGTGAACATCACCTGGTACCATTCATTGGTAAGGCACATATCGGTTATATACCGAACAAGAAGGTTTTAGGTCTCAGTAAGATCGCCCGTATCGTTGAAATGTTCAGTCGACGTTTACAAGGCACAGTTTGATTCAAATAAATTTCAATTTATGAATAAATGACGATAAATCTTCAACTTTCTAAACTATAATTATAAATCGTTTTTTAATACATAGATTCTTGATCTATCACCTTAGTCTCTACAATAAACTTATGCAGATTAATATTAAAATGATTTCTCATATAGTGATAAATGACAACAAGAATTTAGTACAAGAACGATTAACGAAGCAAATAGCAACAGCATTAACCAAAGCGATACAACCATTTGGTGTTGGTGTTGTTATAGAAGCTAGGTTTGTTTGTGTTTTAATAATATTTGTAATAAATAATTAATTTTACCCTTTTCAAAGAATTTAACAATTCAGACATTAAGGTTGAAAGCGCGACAGAAGTTATCTGTCGGCATTTTAGTATATACCAAAATAGTTTATACATAATAAAACTCGTTAAATAGTAAGCCAGCAAGCAAACAGTAGAAAGTAATTGGTGTAAAAATATATTGATCTTCTAGTCATATGTGTATGGTGATGCGTGGTATCCAGAAAATCAACGCAGTTACTATCACGAGCAGTATGATAGATGTTTTCAGAGAAGATGCCAAAACCAGGGAAGAATTCTTGAAATTAATAAAAAGTTAATATTACCACATATATACATGACCACATACAGGTGGATAAAAGTTTACGAATGGAGAATTCTGTATAGAAGTTACTTTTAACTGCACGGCTCGCTAAAAGCCTTACTCCAATTCTTTTATGTGATGCAGCATACGAATTAAAAAAACATTGGTATAACACTTATTATCTAAGATATCAAATAACAATTCAAGAAACACTGATGTGCTTCGAGGTGAGAAACAATTAGAACCAAATCGAATTAGAAGTATTGTTCACATTCTCATATCCTCTTCTTTCCTCTCACCTCTAATACACAAATTGTATTTCCTCACTTTTATTCTTCACCTTCTGTTCAATAATAAATCACTAAGCTTTCGAAAACTTTCTATCCAAGTATGTAAAAGTCAAAACGAGAAAGCCATTCCATTTCCCTTATCTTACTTCCGCACTATTTATAATTGAATACAGCACATATTTAAAATCCTCACAGATGGCGTTTGAAATTGTAAATGAATGACGGCAGAAAGTCTGCTCATCTGTGACATCGCGAGAAATGAATCGAAGTGTGCCTGTCGTTTTTGTTTTCCCCAGGCAAGCTAATAATCGCTCATTTGCTTCATATATTTCATCATCGTATAATTGTTTACCAACTGATGATTCAACACCTATAGCCACTATCATTATTTACAAGCTAGTCGAATTAGCAATTGTCACTCATGTTTATCAACTGTCATTCACCAGTGAAATCAGACCTTTCTTCTTGCCAATAAACTTTCCTGACCTTTTTTGTTATGCCTTTTGTTAGAGCTTATTTTTCCATTTCTTTATCCATTGCACATGTTAAACACTCGCATGCATTTCCTGAATAAATTAACCGAATAAACTACCGCCAAACCATTTCATTTGACACACCAGCTGACGGAGGTGCTTTTGATCATCCTATAGACGACTCTCCAAAGAATCAAGTGATTGACTCTTCTGAAATTAAAATCCATGAAATCGATTAAGGTATCAATGGATGAAGCACATAAGGATATTTGACCTGCTTAATTAACATTCGATAAGAAGGAGCTCACGTAACCCCCAAACTATTGTTTTAACCTTCGCCATCAACTGAAGTCACCAAAATCACCATTTGACAGAGACAATTTTTTTTTTTTTTTATTATGTGCAATAAATAAGGACAAAATACGATACTGTGCTAAAAAAACATTGGCTCTCCAATTTGACAAAGGATGAGTCCATTTATTTCCCCATTTGCAAATATTTTGATTATTTTCCAGATAGTGCTTTTGACGTCTGTCACATTTTCACAAACTAAATGCACCCTTAGTTTATGTCATTACAATCTCCAATGTTTATTTGAACATATTTGCGAGTTTATTTTTCAAAGTAACTGGCCCGAAATTTTACTGCCAAAGCCAGGGAATTTCGGAGTCATACGAAAAGGCTGGAAGAATATTAGCTCTTACCTTACAGGAAAGGCTTTACAGATTAATTATCGCTTGTGCTCGTTCGTGCGACTGATAAAGCAATTTTAAGTTTAAAAATTTGGGACTGATTGCTGACCTCCATTCTTCTCAAGGTAATGGATAGTGCTATTACATATACACATCTCCGATGACTAAACACGTATCTTTTGATAATATCCTAGCAAGAATGCATTCTATCAATAGTTACCTTATTTTCCTATTAAAATTATAATTTAAAAGTATAAGTTTTGGATAAATGTGTATATTTATTGGAATTTGATGGTAGTTAAGCAAGTTGAATCGCTGCAGTATAGGCGAGTGACTTTTTATTAATATCTGGAAGTACCCCACTTTTACATTTAAAATACAAGATCACATTTAGGGTGTGAAAACTTTTTTAGGAACTATTTCAATTGTATTTATAGGTAGTACTGCCTTCGTCTTCACTGGATTAACAGATACAGGTTTCCACATTCTCTTCGCCTCATAGCTGATGATTACATTAAGTAGAAGAAAAATTAACGAAAAGCTACGCAATGGTCCAGGCAGCAAGGTTCTCGAGCTTGCCATGAAAGCGTCATAAATTGCATTCCTCTGAATCCCAACCAGTTTTTCAAACCTATCTTATTTCATCTTAGATTCATGCGAAGAAAATCAACAGCCGTTACAGTTTATTAAAATCCAACAAATCCAAATTTATCTGGAACTTTTACAGCAAATACTTAGAAGTTGCATCTTTTAAAAAAGAATGAATTTTAGTATTAATGTTACCAAAAAGTACAAAATGCGAGAAAAATTTACATCCATGTTATAAGGTAAAATTTTTTTCCCGTATGACTAAAGTTTTTGACATTAATGTAATTAAATCAGCTTAGTTCTTCCATAAATTGCCGCCTGGAATCAAATATGAGACCAAAAGTCTTCATTTCCAGTAATACATAAACAAGGAAAATATGGAAATATAATAAGGCGATAATTCTGCTTTATAAAAAGCTTAAAAAATGAAATTCTCGTCAAAAAACAAAGATAAAAGCCTGAAGAATCACTCCCAAAACACTGTAGCAAATAAATAAAAGTCAAAATAAATAAAAAGTCTTACTTTATTTATCACCCTTTATATTCTGATAATTTTACTAGATAAAAGTTTTTATCCGGTAATGTTATTAAGATTTATAACTACTCAATTTTTTCACTTCTTGCAAAGCATATAAGTTAAACCACCAAAACCAACGACACAACCGACAATCAAGGCTATCTGAAGCGTCCGCTTGTATGAAACGTCTTTGACGATAATTCCATCCCATTCTTCCTGCAATAACATATGATTATTTTTTTGTAAATATATATTACAACTAAAAATTGCTGGAAGCTTGAACTGCTTAAGCAGAATATAGCAGAACATAGGCCCCCTTAATTTCAAATCAAGAACATGCGCTGCCTGCATTGGCTAGTTAAATTCCAATCGAATAAAGTTTGCTATATCAATCTGATAAAATACTGATAGTCTGCAATGATTAGAGACCTAAGCTGCTGCACTCAGTTGATGATAACAAAGTATCTTTTTATGAAAACATTTCAGTATAACCGAAAATTATAATACAACAAAGATATTATATAAAGCGAACAATATTACTTATAGCTTGAAAAAAAAAGAACCTTACCCGAACACCAGTAAAACAACTGGACTCCGTAATATAGCAAATAATGCTGCCATTTACATTAACCTCTGGTGAAAGAGACATGATTGCAGACTTTGTTCCTTCGTTTTCGGATTCTGCTAACCTATAATCTTCCTTTGTTTCCGATTCTGGTATCTGGAAATGTATTATTAAATTTCATTCAATTCGGGATATATAAAAATCGTTGAGTTGTAGTGTCAAAGGCAATGAGTTAAAAAGGCTAAATATTGAATAGGAAAAATATAGACATTCAAAGTTTATTTATTAATTAAAGAGATTCTATTCCTTCTGCAGTTAATTCATAGATCAAATAAATTTTCGAAGTGGCTCATTAAGGTTGACAAAGGAATGCAACCTGTACAGATTTATCCGAATTGATTTCATCATTATTCTGATGTGAGTTAACCACTTGCAGCTTAATCATATCTTTTGCTAAAATTTTAGATGGAACTGTAATATCAGCAATGGAACTGGATGAGTGAGCAATTAACAAGCATTCTGATGTCACTGCTACTTCAGAGATTTTCGCATCTATCATCTGCTCTTTAGGAATCGAATCTGGAACAAACACTGTTGCTTAATTGGAAAAAATAGAAACTGAAAACGTAGAAATAAAATTCAATCAACAAATCATCTTACTGCAAGCTGTTGGTCTGACAAAAAATGCCGTAAATAATAGTTGTTCTCTCTCTTTCCTGCTGATCGGCAGAGCAACGACAAAGCATGATAGAGGTACCAGCAGTAATACATTACTTCAGAGTCAAAATCAACATTTTTTTTGGTAAATACCTACGTTGTGGAATGTTCTCAGTAAAGTGTCAAAAGATCAACACAGACAAAGGAGAAAAAAAAAAGATTTAAGCATTACCCGAGCTCTTCATTTTGTTGGAAGATTCACCAACACTAGTAGAGCTACTAGCGCAGGTAAGTGATGTGATATCATCAACGGATCTCCCATAAGATGCCGATTCATTTGAAAATTTACTAATTACATTGGGAAATTTAGGTGCATGCTTTAACTGCTTATTTTTGTCTTTATTCGTTGATAATTTCAGTGAGCAACTCGTTTCCTGTATTTTTTCAAATAATTTAAGATCATTCCACAGATGTAAAATTAAATGAATAACATTACTTGCAAACCTTCAAAAAGTTATTATCTCTTCTTTTCTAACAACTTTAACAAAAATTTTAAATAGAAGCACAAGTACCTTATTCATCTCAACTGAGCTGAAGATAACTTCTACTTTCTGATGACTTGTCAAATTCCTAATCTGTTCCTCCGTCTTTATTTTCACTTTATCTGGTAATGTGATCACTTCCAAAACTTTGCCTTTTTTCATGGCTCTTTCAATTATCAACTTCAGAATATCAATGGAGCTACATCCAGGAAGGGCAACACGTTTGAAGCATTCTTTTCCATCCTCAATGCTGAAACTATTCAAAATGAGTTATATAGTACTCAGACAGCCTAAATTACGCTTCGTGGCCGTCTTGGTGAGAATCTTTCCTATTCCTATCACAGCAAGCAAACAGTCTGTTTTTTCTTCCATTTATAAGAAGAGTAGTACTTTAAATAACACTTATCGTCGAACTTTTGCAATGATGTGACTCTGCTAGGACTTCATAATCATGTGGATTTTTCGAGAAGAAAATTAAACATAAAAAATTAAAGTAAAAAGAATCACCTTGTTCGAACAAGAAGAAAACGAAGTAAGGAATCAAGCTTTCCATTAGAGTTGATTTCATGAATGACTGCAGTTGAGTGGGCATCTAGAAGTCCAAAAAAAAGCAAACATCGGAAGAAAGTTTCAAAAATTAAACGTTATTAATCCGCAAAAATAACGAGTAAAGGTCCATAAATTGCATAGTAACAATGTTACACATTCATGAAGTTGTATAATCTGACCAAAGTTTCTAATTTTCAGTAGGAAACCACATTTTTCCCTACTTCATTTACGCCCACTGTTTGCGATTTTAGTACTCAAGTGAGGTTATCCAGATACTACGGGAAATGCACCTTCTTGACTTGCTTTAATATTTACAGATTGCTTAAGAATTTCTTTCACAGCATCGCTGGTTACTAAATCCAAAGGTGTTTTCCCATCTTTTGCAGGCGATTTTGGATCGAAACCGGCTAGCAAAAGAAGTTCAACAATCTCCTGATGATTACGCCGGGCTGCCCAATGAAGAGCAGTCCTGAAATGCGAAACTGCAATACGGTATTACTTTACAACATCCAAGTTTTGATGGAAAAAATTCGGAAATTTCAGAATAACTCTTTTCGTTTTATATCTACATGTCAAAATGAGCGCTAGACAACAAATGCACCATAACATAAAAGAAATTATTTTATCATAATGTGGTTAGAACTTTACTTCTCGAGATAGCGGAGAACTATAAATATTCTCCAATAATAGTAATGGTAAAGCTGGTACTACAGTTTGGAAAATGGTAATATGCATATATTCCGAACTAACTGGGTAACCGTTATGCAATTACAATTAATTCAAGTCTTACTAAATTAAAATTAAGTTTATAATAGCAAGTTTTTTGAAGCTTAGTACCTATAAATTTGAATGCAGCAAATGTGGAATTCTATATAATACTCAGTTCATGTAATTATTATCGCTACAGTTTAAGGTCAACATGTTCGAGTAAGACAGCTACACATATAGTAATATATTACACATACAGTATAGTAATAGTTCAGAAAGCATGTAAGCACGAGTAGTGTGCTTCCAACGCAGTGGCTTTTCAGCCAAGCACTTACCTGATTTGAAAGCTTGCTGCTTTTCAAACTTACTGCTGTTATTCTTCTAGGGATTAGAAGTTGAACAGTAGGAATGGAGAGAGGAATCCTCCTACATTTACTAAAAATGAATGCTAAATAGTAAATAGTAAGTAAAACAGAATTATACTGCTGCTTACAGAAATAGTTGGTAAAATAAAAGTTATAACAGAGCTGAAAGTTGAAGTTCTTAAGTAGAAACAGTTGCGAGCAATATTTCAAAAAATTTTAACTTTCAACGTTTAGATCTGATTGGAAGTTACAACTGGAAATCTAGAGGAATTTCAGTTTTTTTTTCGCAAAAATAGTAACAGCAGATCCGCACTCGGATACTGTTTAATCTAAGACATCGTGTTAAACAGTAAAAAGATCAACATTGCTATTGCTTGATATCAATTAAACAGCCGAATTCATAGAATAAAAGACTGGTCGGAACAAGATTTTCTGAGGAAAACTAATAAAAACAAAACATTGCAATATCGAAGACCAGTAATTTCATACAAGTAAAATGACATGGCCATAAGATCATTGCTTTAATGTTTAAATTTAGTTTACAGGAATCAAAAGAAAAAAAGAACTGCAAGTGTAAAAAGTTAATTGTCAGAAATTTATGGTGAAGAAAAAATAAATAATATCTAGTCAGACCTCTTCCAAATTCTTCGCACCATAAAAGTCATGTCAGGTAAAATAAATTTTTCCGAAATAAAAGACCGCAATAAGATAGCTTATTTGCCTCAAATTTCAGCAGATATCAACATGAAGTAACAGAAAACATCAGGAGGCGTCTATTTTTCTTCTTATTTTTTCTTCCATCAAAAAAATACCTTCCAAATTTAAAAAAAATTCTAAAACTATACATGCGAAAAATTTTTAACCTATACACGATCATCACCAAATAGGTTAGTTAACGGATTCAAATAATTTAATTTTCTTCTACTCTTGATTGATGATATATATTTGTTAACGCAACAACACTATCACCGAAATCGATTTATGCGAACGTCCTTGTCACTAAGATGTAACGCCAAAAGAATAACAGTGTACCTGCGCGAAAATGTTTAATGACATAGTTTGCTAGTTACATAACACATGCATAATTAGTTGCTAATGAAACAAATATTAACGAGGGATCCCGCACTGCTTTGAAAAACTCTTCAGTAAAATTAAAAGTTTGAGAATAATGTCTTCTCAAAATATAGTATTTTTGAATGAACAAACAAAAAGCATTTACAGACTTGTGGTCAGCAAAGTACTATTCAATAAGTTACAAACATTAGTTACTGAACTTTGCAACACGGAAGAAAGCAAAGGTAAATAGCATCCCTATCAAAGAAAATAAACGGCAATCTCACCTAATTCAAATCGCTATTGACCCTCCAACACTACATTTATTCAAAAGTTTCGTCCATACCAGATGCAAAAATGATGGAGGTATGACCTCACGAACGAACGTGTTTGACGTGTTTTACAATATGCAGCCATAAACATCATATTCAATTTTTTTCCTATTTCCACGAAAATATTCATGAAAAAAGTCTCAAATATTCAAACAGAAATAGATATAAAATCAAATTAGTCTTCGGTAACTGAGAAAAGGATGGAATGGCAGCAACAACAGTCACAAAAAACTAGTGAAATATAAATTTCATGAAAAGAGAGAAGATGAACTGAAGCACTACAACATTACTTCCACTAAGCCTAATGTTAGACTTTAAGTTAAAAGAAAATTATAAAAAAAAAATCAAATATATGAAAGATGCAAGCAAACAAATAGACAAAGATGCCTATAAAATCAAAAGTTATTTCTGAGTTTAGATCATGAACAAGAACATACCATCCGTTACCATGATGCCGAAAACTTATATCGATTTTCCCATTCTTCAGCATTGCTTTTGCTTGTTGCAAATCACCAAAACTGCAAACTTCCAAAAAATCCATCTGAATGCGATCGTTTTCATTCTCAGCCATTCTCGACACTGACTTAAGTCTTTCCGCGAATAAATGCGGACGACTGAAATGGAAATAAGAACAGGTAAGAATGGCTGATGTGAAATTTCAGCGATATCAAGGACATCACTCCATAATGAAATGATGCATTCAATTTAATAGAGGCTAACACAATGTGACCGTGCAGTTTGGTGCATACAATGACTAAATGCTTTTAAACAACCGAATGCATGCATGAATGTCAATTTTAGCAGTGATGCAGGCAATTATTTTGTGAAGAGCTGCTTCATTTGAAATGATAGACCTCATCCCCTACTGCATTCATCAGAAAAAAAATTCTTAGCAGTTGAAGTAGTGCATTCATTTGGAAACTAAGTTACAAACATGAAGTACCAGAACTGTTCTCCGTTTACAAATAGAATTTTTTCCCTATAACCAACTAGATAATTGCAATAGGGATTTTCCCAATATCACAAGCTACTAGATAAAGTGGTAGATAACATCAAGGGAAAGGTAAAAACGTATTTGTTCGTACCGGGAATGCTAAAGAGCAATATAACATTTGCAAATTTTCATAATCTCTTACATAATTCGATTTGAATTCCGAACGAGTTGTGAAGTCATTCACTATTGTTTCGTCTTTTCTCGAAGTAACTATCACGATCTATCCATATAGATCATCCAGTAAGAGTTATATGACTGAAGCTTGCTATAACTACTGGAAAAGCTTATTTGCCAGATGGGCGGTAATCATTAACAGTCATTTATCATCAGTATAACATCATTATTATATAAAATGTTACGATTTTTCTTGTATGGAACTATCTGCATAAAAATAAGGAACACACCGTTAATTATAACTTTACATCTCAACAAATGTTGAGAGATCAGAAAAAACTTCCCGACTCCTCCCCGTTTCGATCTCAGATCATTAATCATGCAGTGGAGATTATTTAACCTGAATTCGAAATGTTCAGTTCCTGCCGCTGTGACGAAACAAGACCATCGAATTAATCACTTCCTTATGCGATATGCAAAATTTCAATCCTAACAGAGCTTACTTTAAAACAAAAGAATTATGGATCCATTGCCATCATCACCTTTAAAGGTAGATAAATGTATATCCGTAATCAATATCTAAAATAATTTCATCCGATTACTCTGATCCAACACATCTAAAACAGTGTCAATTGACAGGCCAGCGATGGAACCGTTATCAACAACTCCTCTAACAAGCACAAATGAACTGTCAACTGAGGTAATGTCAAAATGACTGAGTCAGAGGCATCTCTTTCTTTTCTGAACGACCAGTGCCGTTCTCTTTAACTATTAACGTATCAGAATGATAAACCATATACAAAAAAGTGTTGGCGTAAAGTGTGAACAACGCTCAGTTCCTGTCCAGTAGTATCGGCAAGAAATATGAGCAAGTTTTAAACTTTAGTTTAAAATTTCAACGATCGGGTTCAAAGTTTTCCCAATTGAAATTTTTTTCGACTGCTGGCTAGTGGGAAGGGGAATAGAGTGTGAGGTGGCTTACATGTTACAGCGTCCTTTGATATCTAAAGCGCCAGGTTAGGAATAGCGCAAAGGTCATCTTCAGAGAAAAACAACGACCAAAATATTACCGCTTTTATTTTGAAGCAAAAAAGTGTCAGTCAAACAACAACAATGCATGCATGCACGCATGAGTGCACGCATGCACTGCGAAGGGATGAGATATTTCAGAACTGAAAAGGCTGTTGAGGTGCTAACGGAGGAATGAGCTAAATAGATTAAGACAACTGCCGCCGACGCCGTTCGATTTGGTTCAGTAAGCTGGCAAATGGCCAGGAGATGCCAGCTTGATATAATAAAACATGACATGATTGATATGCTTTGTCTATGAGAGACAAACGCTGAATAGGATATTCGGGGAGTTATATTCTCAGATGACATTTGAGAGATCGCGGTGAATGAATGTGACATTGTAGGAAGAAGGAAGTTAGGAAAGAAACTAATGGAACAGGTAAACCATTATTCTATCATTGAAGAAGATGAACATGCCACTAAGTGATTCTCCAATCGCGGATAAGCAGGACAAAGCAAAGGGTATAAATGATTCCTATCAAGTTAATGATATACTTCCAACCTTGTAGCACTCACATACGAACACAAAAAGCTTATTCTATCTTTCTGTTCACGCTCCAATTCCTCTTCCACATTATTCCATGCGTGTCCGTGATATGAAACATGCATAAAGGGTGAAAAGTTAAGGGCCATTCAGTGGACAACGCACTGTTTCAAGCATATCAAATTGTCCCCAAACCAGAAACTTTTCTGTAATGAAAAAAAAAAACTCGATAGCCCTGAAGATGTCACGACATGCAAAAGTGACAAGCCATAAGCTTACAAATATTGATAGCTCCTTATTATGTTTGGTGTTTACTGAATAATCGGAAATGAACATTTTGATATAATGATAAATTTCAGTGGTAAGAAACGATTCTTCAGGAAACAAACGGAATGACGATGAGCCTGTTTTATGGCACGTCGATCAAACATGTTACGAATGATGAAGTCAGTTTCTGGATGTAATGATTAGATTTCTTTCAGTTCAGTATAATTGTTTGCTGTTTAGCATCCAAAATTGAAATGTCATCATTTGAAGTTATTGCTAGCTTTTGTGGCTAAACAATCGATCGAGCGATCAGTCCTTCCACTCAAAGTTTATATGAAATGTAAATTAAACCATCATGATATCAGGTTTATAAAAGCAGCTTCATAAGTGATGCTTATTCTCTTTCATTTATACTTCTGTCCTATGCTTGTGTGATTTCGTAATACGTAATGTGTAACACTCATTTCTGCACGAATTCTGTACTCATTGATTGAATAACAATATTTCAGGTGATGTGGCGGTCATGCTTCGACTTACTTATACTGTTCGTTCTCCTGTTTCCTTCGCAATGCTCATCTGATTCTAATCAGAAAATAAACCCTTTCGATGTAAATGATCCAAGGTAACATCTTCGAAACGTAACTTGCCGACAGAACTAGCATTTTTTGGATAAGAAATGAATTCAAGCTGAAAGTTCATTTCACATAAACCATTTTCAGATCCCGTCTTGTGATGATTGATGGTAATATGTATTTTCATGCTGCGCGACAGAAAAACATATCGTTCATAGCTGGTACCGGTGGCTCAATTTATTTTGGCGAGAAAAATCTTAACTTATTGCCAGAGTTGGTACGTCGCTTGCTTAACAGCAACTTTCTATCCTTTCTTCAGGTCGGATTTGGATTTTATTCAAAAGATTCGAATCATTTGACCATTCGAAATGTGGAAATTAGAAATTTTGATCTCTAGCACATGATTTCCATTTCAGACTGAATTTGAAATTGTGAAGGAGGAAGTGGACAAGACTAAGGTTTGTAATCCTTTTTACCATTATTGCATCCAAAAGCGGTACGTTGTTTCATACTCACAGCTAATTATTTTGGACTATTTTATTCGTTCAGGGTCGCGTTCATCAGCTAATGAAAATGGCTGATTTATTCAAACAACAGATAAAATCGAAAAGTGGCGATGTTGCAGCTTTGAATAGAAAAGTTAGTTGATACTTTACATTTTAAATCTTAGATTTACAAATCTTTACTGACTTGAAGAATTTAAAGAAAGCTTCTAATTGGATTCAATTAAGTGCATCCAACTCATCTACATTCTAAACGATATGATGTAAACTACTTCTGTATACACATATTAACAAACTGCTGATATTTCAAATACATCACTAATCTTTTATCACAATACAACAATATCAGAAAATCTAAAAATATTGCTTAACGAGATGTTTCCCACGACAAAGATTCTGTTCCAATCTGAGAAGGAAGGAAGAAAAGAAAAATTAACACTGTGAAAGGTGAGACAGTAAGTGGAAGTGAATCAAGGAAATTGGAATGAACATTTCTGAATGATGAATATTTTTTTTATCATTTTCACATAAAAATTTTGTGCTGAATGAGAAGACGATTAATTACAATTCTAAATTACGTAGAAATCCTAGAAATTTACAATAAATAGAAAACTGCACGTAATTCCGCCATATTTTGCTGGCCCGAATATGTAGGACAATCAATAAAAGAAATTCATACAATAAAGTTCCCAAAGTCACTTCGTCATAAAATTCCGTTATCTTTTGATTTATTTTACTTAAAAATATTTTCACCAAAACTGAGACAGTGCTGATGTTTTCATCTGTATATCTTTACTGGATCCTTGAATTTAACAGTGAAAAAATAACTATGCAAACTTGAGCGAACTTTTTGAGAGACCACTTACTCTTCTAAATTCCTGAATGCAGTCTGCATTTGTTCTAGTAATTCATCATAATCTTTCTTAATTTTTTGCTCGCCATCCTTTACTGGATCTTTGAATTTCATAGATGATAGCTCGTACATGATATCACCCATGTGATCACGAATTATTGCCCAGGTAATCTTATTTTCAGCTTGTGCCGTTGATTCCACAGCATGCTTTGCCAGGTCATAGAAAGCAATCATGTTTTTCAGCATCCCCACCGTTTTATAGAATGGACAGAATCGATCGTAGGGAGTGTAGCCGTTTTGCTGTAAAAAGTCATCCTTAATCAGTTTAGCTACTTCTAAAGTGATCTTGTCTGATTCCGCTAGTGAAGCTTTACCCACCAATTGCACAATTTCAGACAGGTCTTCTTCTTCTTGAAGAATTTCCTTGCATGTTGTACGTAGGGCAACAAATTCTGGGAAATTCTTGTCATAATATTCATCTAATGCTCTCATATATTTGCTATATGATATTAGCCAATTAATTGATGGAAAATGTTTACGCTGCGCCAACTTCTTATCTAACCCCCAGAACACCTGAACAATACCAAGAGTAGCCGAAGTGACAGGATCAGCAAAATCGCCACCAGGTGGTGAAACAGCACCCACAATAGTGACAGATCCTTCACGTTCTGGACTTCCGAGGCATTTAACTTTACCAGCTCGCTCATAAAACGATGCCAAACGAGCAGCTAGATATGCCGGATAACCAGAATCGGCAGGCATTTCACCCAGACGACCAGAAATTTCACGAAGAGCTTCGGCCCATCGTGATGTAGAATCAGCCATCATAGAAACATTCAGACCCATGTCACGGAAATATTCAGCAAGCGTAATGCCGGTATAAATCGATGCTTCACGTGCAGCTACAGGCATATTTGATGTGTTGGCGACCAAGGCTGTACGCTTCATAATTGATGTAGTAACACCGTTGACTTCCATGGTCAGTTCTGGAAAGTCACGCAGTACTTCTGACATTTCATTACCTCGTTCGCCACATCCAACATAAATGATCGCATCGGAATTAGAGAATTTTGATAGTGATTGTGAAATAACAGTTTTACCACAACCGAATGCTCCTGGCACAGCAGTGGTACCACCTTGAACACACGGGAACAGTGCATCGAGGACACGTTGGCCGCACAGCAGAGGAAAGTTAGCTGCCAATTTTTCAGCACAGGGACGTGGCTGACGCACAGGCCAGATCTGAAGCATTGTGAATTTGGATTTCTCGCCAGCAAATTCAGTTTCCAACACAGTATCAGTGACGCGATATTCACCAGCTACTGCTATATACGTAATTGTGCCACATGCTGTTGGCGGAAGCATTATTCGATGGTTGATAAGAACGTTTTCACGAACAAAACCGATGGTATCACCACCCGTAATGTGGTCACCAACAGTGAGCTTACGGTTCGGTTCAAACTGCCAAGCCGCGTCACGTGAAAGCACGTCTACGTTAACACCTTTGGGAATGTAAATGGACTGTGTTAGCTCCAAAATATCTTTCAGGGGTCGTTGAATACCATCGAAAATCGAACCCATAATGCCAGGCCCTAGTTCCACTGACAGTGGTTTACCAGTTCGAAGTACAGGATCACCTATTGCTACTGCTGATGTATCTTCGTAAACTTGAATCGTAGCATAGTCACCTTCCAGACGGATAATTTCACCGACCAGTTCGGAATGTCCAACACGTACCAGCTCGTACATTGCTGAACCGGCCATTTTCTCTGCTGTTACGACAGGCCCAGAAACGCCATAAACAAAACCATAGGAGCTTTCTTTAGCATTTTCCATCAAATTAGTAGTCGGAGGCATTTTATCTCTCACAATAAATTCCTGGAATGTGAACAGAGATTAAACCGAAATAGAAAAATTAAAATCGGTAGCAGAACACGGCAACTTTCTTCTGCACTATACAGCATTAATAATATAGTCATTTAAAAAAATGTGCCGACATCAAAGATTTCAATTAATTTCTTTCTAAACAAGTATATTTAAAAATAGAAGACGCAATAAGTTTCGTCAGACAATATATCATGTGCACGTACGTGGTTCATAATTGTAGATTACTGTTGTTCAAACGTTTAGTTGCTGTGTGAGTGTTCTAAAGGATGGTCTTTTCAATGGCGAATGCAAGTAGTTCCATAACTAATAAATGTTTAAATGTCCTCGGTAATGTTTAACCAATGAAAGATTTACGTGATTATATATGAGGTAAGAGTAATATGACGATGAGATTTATAAACACAGACAGCACATATAAATAATACAGCAGATTGCAGTGATGTTTATAAGTTTCGTTCCTATTACAGTAACTTTTCAAGCAACCATTATTATTTACTCCACAAATTGGAAATTTCGATTCTATAAGGTGTGGTGCTAATTCCAACTAATTTACGCATGTAAAAAGGAAAGCAGGGAGATTGATCAGATACACTGGAAAAAAAATGAGTAATTAAGCGTTTAAACAAATGCTTGGGAGAAAGGAATTAAACCCTTCAACTCGGAGGCAGTCCAGATAATGTGCGGGATAGTGAAGTGATCTGATTTGGTATGAGTGATTAGTAATAATAGTTCAACTTAAAAAAACTATCCATGAAATAACCTCACTTCATGGATGTTCTGTTCATCCACTCTATTGCTAGAACTGTTCTTATTCGCACAAAAAAACAAAAACGAAACAATTAAAAAGGAGGACGCAGAGAACAGCCAGCCGGGGTAATGTTGCTCAGCGAGTGTCATCAAACCAATGGTGACAACATTTCCCCCACTACACACGATTGTTCTCTGTTCTTTTGATAAATGATTTTCAGACAGTCGTCTCAGGATTGGCCTTCGAATATTATAGCTGTAAATTATTTAAAAAATTTCTGAAAAATGAGGAATAAGTGATAATATTTTGCTTCAAATATGCAACAGAGATCAATATTAGTAACAACAAAAGGATTGAGGGAAGAATTATTATTGGAATTCAGAAGATATATCGATTGGGCTTTGTGGTGCACTTCCTTTGCACACTTTTACAGTGCGTCCAAAGTGTACTGACTGAGAGGGCGAGAAGCTTCACATTGGAGAGAGAAGTGTTATCAGGCAAGCAAAGTTGAGGGGGATTGTTATGAGTAAAATAAACCTGAACTAGAATAGTCTAAGACGTGGAATAAGGTGCATTACTTTCTAATAATACAATGAAAAAGAAATAGATTTTTTTGATTGCATTTCTTTGAAGTGATTGTTTTCAATCTCTAGATAGCCGACATCATAAAACGCCTGGACTTAGTCAGCTCAAAAAAAAAGAAGGCAGTGGACGGAGATTTCGGAATTTGTTAGCTGCGCTAAAGTCTCATATAGCGTTGTTGGATAATCGCTTGAAGAGGGATGAATGTATTGACAATCCGTGCATGAATGGTGCGACATGCATCGATCTGTACAACAAATTTATGTGCATATGTCCATCGCATTTTGAGGTATTTGCATAATTCTGGTGTAAACGGCTATTTCCGGAGCAAACAGCTATTTCCTTAATGACTGCTCGGGAAGAGATAAATCATTTCTCGGTTGTTTATTTTAATTATATGACTTAATCCTCTCTAGAAAACTGCTAGCCCCAAAAGAAATTAAAGAACTTTATTTTAAAAGTGCAGCGGACGTTTCCAAATTTGAGATCTAAAAAATTAGTAAATTTGGATGCGAAATATTGAGCAGTGATAATATTCAGGGTGCAACATGTGATAACCGTATAGACGAATGTAGCCTTTATCAAGGGACACCTGCGGGATGTCAGAACAACGCATCTTGCATCTTGAAACCGGATGGATTTCAGTAAGTCCTTCAGAGACTAAAAACGACTTCAGAGTGTTTTGTCTCAGAGTAATGAAATGGACATTTTCGATTGTGCATTTCAGTTGCATTTTGCAAGATCATATGATGTCCGCAAGTTTTATTATCCAAAAATTTCCCCGTCATACATCAATTTGTACCAGAGAGCAAGCGCTGGCATAAAATGGTTAAGCCAGATATCAGAAACAAATTTTTGGTTTTAATTTATCAGAATAACAGGTGGAATTCTTCTTTAATCATTTATTTTGACACGGTTTTTTAAGCTGTGTTTGTCAGCAAGGCTTCCATGGAACCCTATGTCAGTTGCGAGCAACAGCATGTGAATTTTCATTGGATTTATGTGGCTCAGCTGGACACTGCATACCAACTCCGCCAGATCCAAAATCCAATGAAGTACATACTAAGTAATTTACGCGTTTGAAAAATTATGTATTCAAATCGAGGCTGGATAGTTTTTTGGGTAAAGTAAGGTCTTTGGTAGTTCGAACAAACAGAGTAAGAATGAAAATAAGTATGCAAATGATATTCGAAATTTGTAGAATTTTCAAAATTTTATTTTTCATTTGAAAAAGGATATAGTTTTTACCCTGTTTAAGCCTGGTTATCGTTGCCTTTGTGAGTGGGGTTATCGCTCTTCCGCCGATAAAAACAATCCGGTTTGTGAAGATGTAAATGAGTGTGAGTCGAATCCATGTTATCCTGGAACAGCTTGTATCAATTTGCCTGGTTCCTTCAAGTGTGCTGGTTGTCCACCAGGCATGACAGGTAATGAATTTGCCAGTCATAAATAATTATGTCCTAGAATAGCAGTTAAGGATGATAATCCTTACCTGCATTTTCATCCATTTACTAATGTTAATTACGAGAACAATAACTATTCTTCACAAGTGTAACTTCTAGATTTTAACAGGAATATAATGTAGAGAAGGAAGTTTAGAAATAATGAGCGTAACATACAAATTTGTCTGTTAGCTTAGTGGCAGCAGGATTATAAGAAAAATTATGTTGACAGAAATTGAAATTAAATAGTTCTATAAACAATAAATTGAAATTAGTGATAATTAGGGAATGGGATGATTTGTTTGGATATTGATGAATGCGCAGATGAGGACCTGGTAACTTGTTCTAAGGATCCGCCAGTAAAATGTATCAATACTATTGGCTCCTATGAATGTGCACCGTGTCCTCCTGGTTCGTTTCTTCTATGCTATTTTTCATGAACCATAAGTAGTGATAGGAATTATTAATTTCAAATTGTTGATTTATATATACATGAATATACATGTTCACAACATCATGTTACGGTCAGCATTCATTACAGGCTATAAGGGTAATGGTCATATTTGTAAGAAGCAAAGCCCATGTGAATTGTCTCCATGTCATCCGAAAGCCAAGTGTTATAGTATGGGCATGAGCTCATTGAATGAGGAGGGTTTCCGATGTGAATGCCCTTCCGGAATGATTGGTGATGGGATCGGTACTGAAGGTTGTTACCACTCAAATGTAACACTTTGCCGTACCGATACATGCTATAACCAAGGGACGTGCCAGGTGAAAATATTTTTCAAACTTCTAGAATTAAGCCAAAGTATAGGTGCTCATCTGTTTCAAAACTATTCCTGATATCTTGTAAAGATGCAAGAGGAGATGTAAATTTTGAGTCTTCCTCATTAATGGAAAATATTTTCTCAGTAACACTTTAAATATGGAATTTTAAAAATTAACCAAGCATACGCATGGGATTGTTTCAGATAATCTCGGAAGAAGAATACAAATGTCACTGTAAATGGGGTTACGTTGGCAAACACTGTGAACTAGCTACCGCTTGTCTAAGTAATGTATGCCGAGGTCGTGGTGAATGTCTAATTAAGAAGGATGGATCATTTGAATGCGTGTGCTTAAGGGGTTATTATGGTCCAACATGCGAATATGAGGAAGATGGTTTGTTTTTTTACAAAGATCAGTCGGTTCTTTTTATTTGCAGATTCGTATATTCAGATTTAATATTTAGGTTGTGGTGGTCACATAACAAATGCAACGGGTGTAATCAAATATCCGGATTGGACATGGTATCATTTTGGTCGCAATAAGACATGTGAATGGATCATTACGGTTGACGAACCGAATAAAGTATGTTCTATGTCCTTTATAGATACCAATATTTAATATGTAATAAATTGAAACCTTCTTGCTTGTTGCCAAAGAAAATTACATATTCAGCAATTTAACATATCAATTCGAACCTCCGATTATAACTGAAGAATAGTTTTGTGAATAAAAAATAAATGTTTGAAGGTGATTGAGATAAATTTTACAAATTTCCACTTGCCAACTAAACCGGCAACATGTGCCATGGCTGACGCAAACGTTACCTTACGCGACGGCGAACATGCAAACAGCCCATTAGTAGGCGTATTTTGTGGCCCGAGAGGATCTACTCAGGTGAGTTGTCCTCTGTCTTTTAATTTTTGAATGTCAATTGAAAAGCTTTTTTTCGTTTCGTTCTCCTTCTTTGTTTCTCGTTTCATCGTGCTATTTGTTGCTTTTTAAGGCTCCAGTTTCTCATCCGATCTATTTTTCATCAAACAAGGCGTATATTGCATTTGTTTCTAGTAAAAGTAGTATTGGAATCGGTAATTTTGCATTGCAATGGAGGACTGTCGAAAAAAGTTGGTTACTTTATATTACTGCGTGGTAATCCAGCATATTTCTCAGATTTCATCTCCGTTAGGATTTTATTCACAAAAATTTTGAAGAATGTGGTGAACGAATCTACAGTGATAATGGGGAAATATCGCTGTATGGTTATGAAAGAAACGAAGTCTGCCAGTGGCATGTTTCCGTTAATCCAAAAATGCATATTGAAATTACCGTGGAACCGATGAAATTTACTTCGGGCGACATTCGCAATTGTTCACTTAACTCGCTGGAGGTGAATTACCATTTCCTTTATTGTCTTGCAAATCCTTTAGTGTGCTGAAATTTGGATCTTTAACGAAATTTAAACCTATTTGAAATTTAGCTGTTTGATGGTTTCGAAATTGACGAGACGGAACGTATATTACACCTATGCAGTAGTGAGTCTACTCGAACTTTGGTGCGTACAACACTACCATACTTTACGGTTTACTTCAGGAGTAATTATCCCGCTGATATCCCAGAAGAACATTGTGAGCTTTTAAGCGTCATATACTTTTTGTCCACTGCTTGGAAAGTTATTTTTTAAGTAATTTATATTCATAATTTTTTTTTATAGGTGATGGCAACTCTCTTTGCAGTCGTGGTTTCACTATTCGTTATAGAACCATTAAGCGTATGTTTATCAGATAGTCCGTTCTGCTGTATCCCGTTATTAATGGAATGTCTCGCTTAGGATGGAAAATTGATGGAATAGATAAAAAGATGAAACCATACATCGTTCTGCTTTCAGTTGACAAAGATTGTGGAGGTACAATTTTACCGGGTGCTGATGGCATTTTTGAAGGTTATGTCCAATCACCGAATTATGGTTTTAATTATTTCCCAAATTTGGATTGCTTATGGCTGCTTGATGTTTCTGCTATCGCTAATGTAAGTTCAGTAAATACCTTCTTGTCATGTATAATCTGATCTGATAAAATAGTTAAGTGTTAAAAAATACCAAGCAGATACGCGTTCTTTCTAGGGCTATGATGAGAAAGTGATAAAAGCAGAAATTGTTGATATGGATGTGCCTTCTGCTCCGGCAAGATCTTTAAAAGGTAAATTCAACCCTATGTGTACCTACTTATACGTCGTAAATTATAAGTTTACATAAGTCCTTTGAACTGTTTATGAATAGAAACGAATGCTATTTCATAGTACAAATCGGAACGTTCTGTCTGAAATTCTTATCCGTCCGTCAAACTTTTATTCCCATCATAATCTCCTACTTTTGTTAATCCTTTTTCATTTTTAATGGAAAATTAACATTTATTTGATTAATATTCATTTTGATCAAATTGCAACATAGCTCAGCGAATTCCAGAAACATCTCATTTCCGTTTTTCGTTTTTGGAAACAACCGGTCCAACTCAGCGTTTGTTGAATCTCATAAGACCATGCCGCTTTGATTACATTACGGTAAGCATTCGAAATTATGACAATTCAAAACTCAAAACCATGATAGCTTGTTGAATCCCGAGTATGACATCGATGCTTAACATTTAACTGAAAGTGCTGGAAACGTACCATGGCCTATAATTGAAGTGATGGAGGAATGAGAAAAGTGTGATGACGGCAACTAGGCTGCTAACCAAGTATGCCATCGATAAGACTTCACACTCGGAAAATAGGAGATAAAAGTGTCTGTTTTGATCACGGCACAATACGAGAATCATCAGGCTTAATGATACCAAAAATCCTTTCCTCATTCAGGAGGAAATGTAACGTATAAAGGATTCGTTCGCTTTTGAAGTGGAAGTTTAGAGGAATATATATAATTAAGTTGTTTAATTACTTTCATACTGTGACAAGTTTCATTGTGCGCTTCGATAAATGGCCCTAATCATTAAGTACATTACAGTTCAGAAATGGTGAAGATGCATCACATCCTATGCTGGGACGTTACTGCAATAGCAAACAACCCGAAGGTCCGATTGTATCATCGGGACCAAAAATGGTCATACAATTCCATTCGAATCAATCCATCAACGGAAAGGGATTCAAGATTTATTATTCTGCAGGTATACATCAATTTTCACATTTTTATGAGCCTTCGGAAAGGTTCTTAAAATTTCTTCGGGAAGAAATTCATGAATTTGATAATCGGTTAAAATTCATTGTCAATTATTCCATCATTATCAGCGTGTCTTCTTCCGGAAAGTCGTAACTGGACAATTTATGGACGGTATTTCTCCGCTCCTCGAGCTGTTTAGTTACGACTTCGTATTCGTATCTTATTAAATGAGAATTAAATTATCAACAGGTTGTTTTTAAGAATACGTAGAAAAATACATAGAGAAACAGTATATCTTTACAAATCTAAAAACTGATTTTTCAGTATGCGAGAAGCATTTTATATCACTGAATGGAACCATTCAAAGTTCTAATTATCCAAATGGCAGTGCTCAACCATTTAAATGCACCTATGTTATTGATGCCGAAAAAACGAAAGCGATAAGATTGAAATTTAGTTTTATTGGACTTAATGCGGATTTTAAGACGTGCTTTTATGATGTCACCAAACATGATCTATTGGAAGATTATGTCGAAGTTAGCTTTCTTACAAATTATTTGAACTTATTTGAACGGATCAAGTAAAAACAAATCCTGTGGAATTTTATGAAGATTTTGCTGGTAAAAGAGATGCCTTTAATTTGACAGAAACTTTTGTCCGTTTTGATTTTAATCGCTCATTCCTAGTGTTTGAACAAAAGAAAAGCATCACACAACGATAGCAAAGGCAAGAAGACCAAACCCATGGCACTTGAATATATTTTTATTGCGCGTAAAAAATGGTTTACTTGAAGTATCTTGAAAACCTAAAATTTACGGATAACGGTTTTGAAAGTATTTTATTTGCAGTTTTATTGCATTCTTCACTTGTTCATAACTTTCCAAAAACATTTAGTTCTCGGGTGGCCATCATTCACACGAAGAGATCAATAAACGATACGTTTGCGCTCGATATCCCTTCGTCGCACCTGACGGAGAAATGGTACATTTTTTTAGGATTTCGTTCTTTATAACTCTCGTAGCATGCATGACCATAAGTTTTTCAGGTAATAAGTGCTTCGAGGCCGTTAAGAATCACATTGAGTTCAAGTGGCATTGCCAATAAAGGGATACTTTTCCTGTACGAACAGTTTGATGTAGGTAAGCTATCCCATTTCAGCTTGGTAAATCTACTTATAAATGTAACTCATCAGTTATCATTCTCTCATCTTGTTAGATTATTTTTCTCTTATTGAGTTTCTGCTTGAAATTAAAGTCAAATTTGTTGAATAAAAATCCCCATTGAACTTTAATACGATTCAAAGTGAGCATATACTCAGTACATCCTTTCATTATAGGTTGCGGTGGAATATTTGAAGGAGAATCAGGCCAAATAACAAGTCCTAATTACCCGGAAAAGTATCTGGCACATATGCACTGCATATATGTGATTAATACACTGGTATGTTTGACCTTGTTCAATTCAGTTTTTGAAATATGGTTGAATATTTGCGATAAATTTCTGGGAGAATTTTCATAATTTGGGTTAAAGGGTAAACGAATTCGGCTAACGTTTGAAGTATTTGAATTAGAAGATGTGCCGAATCGAGAAGATTGCTCCTTTGATCGCGTCGAAATCTATGACACCTATGTGAACGATGATGACCATAGCGAATTACATGGAAGGTATACAGTCTTTTGCAGAAGCTTATTTGAAACTGACTTAACCTAAAAATATGATCATCCTTACTTACCGAATCTTTCTTTTGAATCCTTTGTATCTTCCCACCTTTATTCAAAAAATAATTTTTTTAGGCTTTTTTCTTAGTAATTTAATTTTTTTTCAGATTCTGTGGTACACTGCTTCCTCCTTCAATTTTATCCACTGGAAATCGGCTAACCATTGTGTTCAAAAGTAGCCGTTCATTAAATGGCGCTGGTTTTATGGCCAAATGGCAAGTTGTTGATGAGAAGGTGTGGTAGTTTTGTATGATTCACTTTTTTTTGTCTTTTAGCCGACCTATTTTTGAAAGAGATTTGTCTGGCTTTTTTAGATTATTTTTTTTCTTAATTTCTGTTTTTTGTTGCCATCATAAAGGTCCGATATCATTCAATGAAATAAACCAGTTTAGCTATTTCACTTATTTTGTGGAAGCGCATGATATTTTGTATATTTATAGATCGATTGTCACAGAACGTATACAGCTACAAGCGGTAAAATCGTAATTCATGCTGAGACGGGGATGAAATTTGTGCAATGTGACTATCAGATTGCGGTAGGTCATTTCAAGTTGCTTTTGAAGGTTTCAATAAATGCAACTATGATATTTTTTCTTTGGGATAAGTATTTCTGCAATTGTAGTTGCAATCTTCGAAACGGATTCATCTTCGATTTGAAAATATATCGGCTCCTTGCGACAAAGGAACATTAATGTTAAGGTAGTTAAACAATTTCCCCAAATTTCCATCATTTCACATGAGTGTTTTGAAAGTTAGCATTATAAGTTTGTGCTTTTTTATTTTGAAATTCATCCAAAATTTGAAATAAGCGAATTTCAATGAAATCCTTCATGTTTGTTGTTTTCGTCATTATTATTATTTAAGGAATGGAGTGAATGAACAATCGCCCGGTTTTAGTGGACTTTTTCGAGATTCCGAAATATGTGATGATCATTCCGTTAAAGAACTACGCTCTCAAGGGAGTCGTGTTTTTATGCGTCTAATGACAAGAAATGCACCTTTAGTGACGTTCACCATTTACTACCAGCAAATTGATTCTGGTCAGTTCTGCATTTATTTGATGCTTTGAAAAAAGTTTTTGAATGAGCTATTTTGTGGGATTTCTCTAAGGATTTCTAAGGATCTAAGGATTTCTCCTTTTGATTTCACTGGGTTCAGTTGAAGTATTCTGCTTTTTTAAAATAAAATGGAGAGAGAAACTTTGCAGATTGTGGGGGACGCTTGAGTGGTTTCAGTGGTGCTTTATCAGCTCCACAGTATCCGCTGAAAGATTCGAGAACTCTGAACTGTGATTGGCACATTCATGTTGCAGCAGGTTATTTGCATAAGGGGAAAAAGCTATTTAAAATTTCATCTGAACATTTATGGTTGTTACTTAACGTTTGCAGGTAATCGAGTTCGCTTCACCATTACAGTACTTGATGATTTGAATTCAGCTGATTCCAATGGTTTTTGTTCGTCAGTTGCTCCAAATTACATTGATGTATGTTGTTCCTTTCGTGAATAGTCACTGTTGTATTCTAATATGTTTGAAAGAAATTTTTCTTGAATTTTAATTATGACTTAATAGAAAAATAATTATGTTTTAGAGAAAAAATGAAATTTGGAAAGTAATCAGGTACTGCATTAATTAATGATGATACATTAAGGTTGCTGAAGGTTCCTCGATATCTGCACGCATATTAAGGCGGTATTGCAAAAAAGAGATTTCGTTGTCATCTGTTGTTTCTGAGAAGAACGAATTGACAATTCGATATCGTCAACATGGTGGAACCTATTTTGGTTCACTTTTCGGATTTCTCGCACAATATACTACTGGTTCGGTTTCTAAAACCATTCATTAGATTCACTTACTAAGAGCATCATTTAAGCAACCTTGATATTACCGAGATTTTTATTTGTCGAAGTTGTTTTGCACCAGTTGCAAGTCTATCCTGAGTTAATTTCATATTAACCGTATAGGAGATATTACCTTTCTGGAATATTGTTGTGAGATTAATGATATTACAGTATGCAATGAAATTATGTTATTTGGCCAACATGGTATCCTTCAAAGTCCAGGTTATCCAGAACAAACTCTTGAAAATCGTTTCTGTAAATGGCGGATACAGACAACGAAAGGGAATCGGATACGACTGATATTCCATTTTTTTAGAATTACAGAACCAACTGATCGTTTTACACCGTTTTGTCGTACCAGTTATCTTGAAGTAAACTTTTTCTTCAATTTGATAGTTCCAAAAATGCTTTACTAAAGTGAAACACTGTACTTCTCTGCAGGCCCGATTTAAATTTGTTAAAATTCTTCAGAAAGAAACTAAACTGAAATGGATTGCTTAGAATTTTTTCTGTTTGCTGGGTAAGGGCAGAGCAAATGCATTTACTGAATCAATTAATTGGATGTTTAACTTGTTTTTCTATGCTCCGAATAGAAATTATCGATGGAATTTGCATTTTTCAATCATTTTATTGATTAGGGATAACGGGACCACCTGGTTTACATTACATCAAATGAAATCAAAACTCTTAAAATGTATTTGACCAATTTGAAAAATGTTGTGACTAGGCTAGTGAAAACTAGGCTATTGTGAAAAATATTGTGTCAGAAATTAAACTGTCATATTGTTTAATTACCATTTTTCAGTTTGGTGAAAATCAAATACTAGATTCCTCAGTAACAATTGGTGGTCAACAGAACCACACAAAAACAATGCGAAAATTCTGTGACCATATCGGTAAACCGGTTTGGATTTTGACGGAGAAAGAAATGATTGATATTACATTTTCTTCAAAAACTGAACCAGAGAATCATTTCTGGCTTTCATGGTCAAATGAAGGTATATTAAAGACCTGGTATAAGGCATTTTCATAATTGAAATTTTAATTTTCCTTTCATCATATACCAACTCTCAACTCTGTGATAACCAGACCGATATAGTTGATAGTGATGTAATTTACATGGCTGTGAAGTATTTACGCAGAAAACACTAGAATATTCAATTTATGATGGCGATATTCAAATTTATATTCTTTTTGTTATTCAGGGCTAGGGTGGTACCTGGGTGCGCTACTCTTCAAATTAGACAGATAAAAAGTTCAGAACAATTTTCTTTTCAGGTCATTGCAAACTTCTTTCAGGTTGTGGTGGTGACATTAGTTCTCCAACGACTGTAATTGTTGATGTCGAAAAATTTGTAAATAATTCGAAAATTTACGAATGTACATGGAAAATCGTTGCACCGATCGGAATGCGAGTACTATTTCATATCGAGAAACTGTCAGTGTTTGAAATTGCAGAAGGTTGTACTGGGAATGATGCCGAACAATTCAGCGGCCTTGCGGTAAGTGTATTTTTTCAATTAATCGGACAGAAAGTCAATGAATTTAAAAAAGATGCCTGTTTAAGATAAACAAATAGAAAAATAGAAAAACAGAGGAAAAACGAGATATAATACAAGATAATGAAGTTTTGTTTCAATTTATCATCAAGTTATAGCGAATCACATAAAGTTCCAAAGCCAATTTTTTTTCAAACTTTTTAATCTTTGAAATTTGTTGACATCGATTTGTAAAAGTCAACGGACTTTCAGTTTTACTCGGGTAGAAACAATGCAACAGGTTTTGCTCAAAAAGTTATTTGTTCGAGCAGGGAGGAAGATAATTATACGTCGCATACGAATGAGTTATTTGTAAAATTCAAAATCCCCAGCAGATTAGCTAAACCAGACGTGAAAAAACGTATTATGACTGGAAAGGTGTCGTTCATAACTGCAAAGGCAGGTGATGAATGTGGAGCTGTCATCGAGAGTAAGGGATTTTTTTTCGCTCTAACAGTATTAGTAGAAGTTTGATGTAGTTGACGAACTGTTACATATTGCAAATAAAACAAGCGCATGAGAACGAAGGATGTTTTTGACAATGCTAACATCTTAGGTGTAAATTCGTTAAATATTTTATCGCTTAATCTTTAGATATCCACCAAACAATAAGAAATTTTGAGGTTACAAGCCTCATTTCATTTTAATATTTGAAATATTTTTTCTTCATACCTATATCGGAGATAGGGCGACTAGCATTAACAACTCTCATTATAAAACGGAAATAAGAGAGTAAACTTTACAGTGAAACGAAACGAAACGGTTCAATTACATTCACCAAATTATCCAAATCTTTATCCGAAATCGACTGAGTGTATTTGGTTGATAAAAGCGCCAAGCGGCTACTCGATTCGATTTAATTTGACACATTACACGGTTTTAAATTACCACCCTCAACAGCCAGATATAAAAATACGGCATTCGAGTTTTGATTCAAGTGTTACGTAAGAATTTTGTTTAAAATGTTACGCAAAGAAAAGAAGGTTAATAATCAAATTTCTCACAAAGGCATTTAATTTTCACTTTTTTCATTGTCTGTTTTTATTTCTTCGATCTAACGGAATTTCTCAAATTACTCTTTCTATTTAGTTTTACTAATGTTTTTCACATCGTAAATATCCTAACGTTTGAACAAAATTTCAGTTTGTTTGGTTTCATATTTATTTTTCTTTGTTTATTTACTTGTTTATTTATTCTTATTTAGGTGCCAGATCTCGCAAAGCATCCTTGAGGGGTCGATAACATTTTATAATGGCAATAATACGTGTGTTTATTTTTCATATTTTGCTTTAAATATGTTTTGGTTACTTATTATTCTTCGAGCGCTTTATTTGCTGCAAGTCCACAGTTTATGTGACAAAATGTAATTTGTTGATTTTAGGGTGTAAAATTAAGTTTGGTTAGTCTTTAACTTCCATAGTTACTGCTGTTAAATTAATTTTACTATTTACAGTGATGTGGAAATATTGGAACGTATCTGTCACAACTTGAAACAACCGGAAGTTATTATATCAACAACTGAACAGGTTGCAAATTCCTAAATATTATATTTTTGTATGCTAATGTAATTTTTGAATATAAAACACTTATATTTTAGGCACTGGTCACTTTCCAAGGAAGCCCTTATGAACGGACCTATTTATCAGGGGATGATGAACGCATTCACAATATCGGTTTTGTGTTGTATGTATCTTTAATATGTGGTGGTACACTGTATGCCGAGAATGAATTCAAAACATTCCAATTGCATACTGTCACAGAGGACGAGTGCAAATTCCACATCAGGGCTGAAGGTTTCCACTCTGAAAAAATGAAATCAAGCGAGATTTATAGTTTTGTTTGACTTGTATACCTGATATGGCATACTTTGAAATATAATTTTACTTTTTTTTTCTTTGCAGATGGACAACGCATATATCTTCGTCTCGATCAGTTACGTTTTAACAAGCGTACTGCTTTGAAAGCGCGCGGTAAATCTAGCGCTATCATTGCTGTTTATGATGGCATGCAAGAGAACGCATCCATTCTTGGGATGTAAGTTCTAAATTGTATTATTTTTATTGTAATTTTGAAGAGTTTCTGGAATTCTTTGCAGTTCTCCCTCATTAAAATAAGTTCTAAGAATAGCAAAACGGAATCAATTTCAAAGTAATAAGATCGGTCATTGTTTATGTTTCATTAAAATAGGGAAAACTTCGTGCATGTAGACAACTTTTTAAAATTAAGCAATTTGTTATAAAGCTAAAAAAATGTTTTCCTTACCGATGTTTGCCATATCCTAAATTGTTGTAAATTAGCCTATTGATATTACCAATAGTTTTAACAATCTCTTTGTATACGTAAATGAAATTCAATTTGATTCTCATTATCCAACGGCACTACTTCCTTTATTTGCCTTCTTAGATTTTCTTTTTTTAGAGAATTGCGCTAGTGAGCATGAATACTGTAAACTACTCTGATCTTAACTACTCTAAAAAAAGAAACTACGAACAGTTAAGAATTTGATCTGAAGTGCTTATTTGACAAGGAATTTTTATGGTTAAAATTACTGAACTTGCTGTTGCTTTATCACATTTGATTGAAATTAATGTAAAAATTTTTTATATGCTTCAAGGTATCATCTTGAATGCAATCCTTCAAGCTCAGAGCAAATGTCACGTGCGTGTGCTAATCGAGAATTGCGTTCTACAGGCAGTGTTCTGAGGGTGCATTTAAAAGGACTGAATACCATGCATTTAGAGCATATTCACTTCTCGTATTCAACACAGATCGAAAGTTTGTTCTTTTTTATTTTGCATTTCTTTTAAATTTCTTGGTTGTTGAGAATAAAACATAATTAAAGATGTTCAGATTGTGGAGGTACCATTCATTCTATTGCTGGAATTATATTTTATCCGTTCATGGAAAATGATTTTGAATGCGAATGGTTCATCAGCAATACGGAAGGGAATAGAGTGGAGCTCGAAATTTTGTATTCTTTTCTCTTTTTTTTAAAACAATACTTCCTCTCTTTTGTGAATTTTTATGCTATTGTTTACTTCTTCACATATTTAATACACCTCTGGTAAATTATGTAACTGTAGTCTAAAGAGCTTTGAAGCTTATGAGCAAAAAATAAAATAAGCAGAGTAAGAGTTGGAAATCTGGGGGAGAAATCTAAATTTCTGAAAGATCCAATGGAATTAAATTTTTCAGCAAATTAAAATTACCCTTTTCGGAATATTGTGCAGAATCCTACTTGGAAGTTCGTGAAAGTAATAGCAGCGGAAAAATTGTGACAAGAGCTTGTTCATTTGAAGACGTAATGCCAACGATGATTGTAAGTTTTCAAAAAATATGTTTCGCTAAATTATTTATTTGAAAAATTTCGACGCTTTTGGTCAAAGTTTTTGAGTAACAATGCAGTTCATACCTTTCACTTAGCATCCAACCCTTCATCAATTTTCCCCTTCATACTACGGATTTCGGATTTATCTTTATTAGTATTGTAGTCATTTTTTGTAAGGAAATCGCAAATCACTTCAAAACAATGTTTCCCTGGTCTTCTGTCCTCTGTAATCGCTTCTGTCACAACACCATTGTTACACAGCAATGGTTCCAAAATGGCTTCAGCAGAGTACCACATTTATCATTTGCGGATATGCCATGAAAATATAGCCAGCTAAAAAGTCTCAAATTTCCTGGCTTTTAATTAATGTGGTGAAGTAATGAATGAGATTTTGATCCTTTTTCACACTGTGAACATTGTATCACTTGAAAACATGGAATTAAAGTTATGTATTTTTAGAGTCAAGCATTTTGGATAAGGCTAAGATATAATGGCAATGAGGATGACAGCAGTGATATCGAACCACTGAAGCCGGAATTAATGATTAAATTTAAGAAGGGTCATTCCTTATTTTGAGAATCATATTTATTACTGCCATCACCTTTCTGTTTCTATTAAATCCTTTATTGTTTGTGACAAATCCTTTGTGAGTAACTGCTTTATCATAAAGCAGTAACTGCTTTATGCATACCTGTCCCTACATTATCATAACAAATCTATGGGCCCGATTTAATAATCCTTTCTGGGTGGTATTGTTGGCACATTCAATAGAATGGTACTCAAGCTAAGTTGTAATAACTGTTGTTACTTGAAACCCATGCAACTATTCTTGTAAAAAAATAATAGTTTTATGAGCATGCATTGTACTAGTTTTGCAGTCTTTGGTGGAATGACAAATGACGCGGTGGTAAGTTCACCAGCAGCTGAAGATTGGCAGTCGATAAACTTTGCACCTCTAGAATGGACATTGATTGGTGAAGATAATCACTGGATAAGAATTTCGATAAAAAATATTGAAATACCCGATGAACGAGATGAAAATAATTTTGACATCGAACAAAGGGATACTTTGAAAGGACTTATTGTAAACAATTTAATGTCTCTGGCAAAGCTCACGATTTCAAATACATGCAATGTTTCAGTTGATTTTTTTAGTTCAATTTCTCATAGTGGTATAGGACTTACACCTTCGCTCCCAAAGCTGCTTATACCGGCTTATTTTTTACTTTATTCGTTTGATAACTATTGACCAGTGAAGAAATATTACAGTTCAATGAAGGGATATGTATGTTGAACGGTGAGAACGATGGATGTGGGAGAGTGGAATTTGTCCATGCGGGATACACACCACCAAATGGTATTGGCGCAGTTTTGGTTTTTCAAAATTGCTTTGTTTGAGGGTCTAAATTGAATGTATGATTTCTTATAAACATTTTCAGATTTCTTCATTAAGTCGCATTTGGCTACGGTTTTATTCAGTGCTCCACCGGGAAGTTCATTTCGATTTGTTTGGGAAAATATCCCAGTTGCTGTAGCTAATGCTTCACTTACAAAAGTAAACCAGGCAATTACTGAGGACTCCATGCACGGTTAACTTTTTTTTTCAGTTTTAGAAATAGCTGTCTTTGATTGTTTGGACAGGCAACTAAATCTTTTTCGCTCGCTGTTTTGAAATGAATGTAGCTGATCCTTTAGTTCGAAACAATCTTTTACAAACTACATGTTTTCCGAGTATCTCTAACGGAAACACTTGGTTTGTGTTTTCGAAGTTTACTGTTACAGAATTTATTTGCGGTGACACACTTACGGCAACATTTGATTCACAATATCTCACAAATCCTGGTGGGATATCTACAGATGGTAAATTTACAACCGTCCTTCCAATTACAACTGTAGGAGCATGGCAGTCAATTAATATGTACCGACTCTCGAGATGTTAGTTCGCTGCAAATCGCACGTTTCTATATAATCACAAAAAAAATAGATATTATATTTCATATATTTACATTTTATCACAAATTGAGCACAATATGTGACAAAATATAAATGTCACTATAATTTGCGCATGCTAAGCGAAATGTTTTATTACAATCTTTAATTTTATGGGTTTCAACTAATATAGGGCATGGAGGTTACGGGAATAATTTAAAATGTCGTTGGACAATAATTCGACCAATGTTTGCTGGAATCATGCTTAAAATAATTTCGATGGATCTTGAGGAACATGTTGATTGTCGTTTTGACTATATTGCCATCTCATCGGATCTAGGCGGTGTTAGTTATGAAAATGGACAACTTGTGTAAGTCTTGATATTATTTTAAAAACTGTTGAAAAATCTTTGGATTCTTCTGGAAATTTCATGCGATGATTTGCAGCGGTAACGTTGTTAAGTTTTGCAAACATAAAGATGTGGGAACGGAAGAGCTGTTCAGTTCGGAAGAGGCGGTAACAATTTTTTTCATGACAGATCGGAATAGAGGCGGTCGAGGATTCGTCATTGAATACAAACTAGGTAAGTTTGAAATTGTAATGTTTGAAATTGTCAATTTCACTTTTGCCCTGAAAGGTTTGTATTCCATCCAGTTCGGTTATTGGTATTTCACTAGACATTCGGTTGGTGAATGCCGGTTCTTCTATTTTTTTTCTTCACTTCATATTCAATTTATAATTTAGATGTATTTTTGATTTTGTAGGAATAGCATAATGCTCGTAGAATTTTCATTGAATTTCTATCATTTCTTTTTATAATTTTTGCCACCATTTTGCAAATCAAAATAATCGTTTGATTGATTTTAAGGGTTTTTTTTTGCTTATTAGAAGTTATTCATGTTAATGAATATGTTTCAGTTTGCCAGTCGTTTGATTACATACCAACATCGTTAGGTGTTTTCAATCGGATCGTACAAAGTCCAAATTATCCTAACGGATACGGTAACGATTTGTCGTGCACATGGTCAATCATGCTGGAAAGTAATCGACCAATTTTGGCCAAATTTCTTTCTATGGATATTGAGGAGAGTCCTTTGTGTAGAAAGGATGGCATCATTGTGGTAAAACTTCGTCTTGTTCTACTGAACGTCTCATTATAATAGATATAGAATGATTTTTATAGTTTGAAGACTTCATTGATATTTTTTCCATATTTATTGATTTTCTTGAATTTCTTATGGAAAACAAATTTTTTCAGCACTCCAGTCCTATCTATCTAGACGGAGCGGCTAATAAACTGTGTGGTAGTCTATCTGAATGGAATAAAACTTTCTCAAATGGAAGAGTTTTTATTAGCTTCACAACCGATTCAAATACTACGGGAAAAGTTGTTCACATTTGCTGTTCTTATCTTTTTACCAGTTATTTAGCTAGAAAAAATGGAAGAATTAGCGACCTCTCGTTCCTTTGAATTTAAGCTTCATTTTTTCACTTGAAGTATTAAAAACTTGTCTGCATTTCTAAATTAGATTGTAATATTTTGAATTCACAAACACAGGGCTTCCAATTGCAACTGACGGAGCAAATTCATGACTGTAGTTCAGACAAACTTACTCTAACTGAAGACGATTCTCCAAAAGTACTCAGTTCCCCAGGATTTCCAAAAAGTATGTAAATATGTTCTATTTTCTAATTTACATGTATTAAAAGCTATGTTAAAAGTAAATCTTATTCCAATTTGAAATGAAATTGTTCATTTCGGAAAATATTTTTTGGAACTCATAAGGAAATATTAAAAAATTTACTTTGCAGCGTCACCAAATTCTTTGGATTGCATTTGGACAATCAGCGCATCCAGCGGGCATCGCGTAAAGTTCACTGTTGATCCAGTCAGTTTCAATCTTGAAGACAGTTCGATGGAGGATGTGTATGCATATCGATCAGAAGATTTCTAAATTGATTTTTAAATTTAACTGAAAACTTACTAATTAATATAATCTCAATATTGTAACATAACACTTTATATCCCAAAAATTCCAAAAATTGGTTTGTGGAGATGTTGAAAAACAGAAATAAGAAGTGACGCTATATATTTCTCTTCGCTTCGAATTTCATCAGATGATTGACAAAAATTACAGATGTTCTAGCAATTACTTGGAAATTCGAGATGGACCTTCAAAGTTGTCTCCGTTGGTTGGGCGATACTGTGGAAAAGAACCGCCAAGTACTATCCTCAGTACCGGATCCTTTCTAAACATTCACTACCAAACAGATTCATTTGCTCATTTTTCGGGTTGGAATGCTACTTATGAAATTGGTGCAGTTTTTCAAAAAAATTTTTGCTAAATACTCTTTAAATATCATCAAGACTCAAATTTTACCACATATCTAGAAAATAATCGAAATGAAAATTAAGCTAGAATTTTACGGAATTTGAAATCAAATCTGAATTTTTTTGAATTTGAATTTGAATTTTTTTAATTCGAATCTGAAATTTTCTTCAAGACTAAAATTGATGTTTTTAATGTCAGTATAAATATCAATGACTCCAATTTAATTGTCGCAGTGGGGCTTTATGTTCCGATGATTTCCTGTTTATATTGCTTTCAGCATCATGTGGAGGTAGTGTTGTTATTCCTATAAATGGGAATCATGTGATTACTAGCCCAAATTATCCTGAGCCTTATCCAACTCAAGTCACCTGTGATTGGACTGTAGTGGCTCCTCGAGGACATTACGTCAATGCAACGTAACAATTTAAACACTAGTTTAATGTTAATTTTTGACGATTATTGGATCATTATTTATAGATATGATCTTGATTTAATCTACAGGTTCGATCATCTATGGATTTTATATACTAAAAACTGTACGGAGGACAGTATTTCTTTACGAGAACGAGATAATACTGGTAAATCTTATTGCTTATATTTGCATTTGAATTGAAAATTATTGTATCCAATCATTTCTGGTCTCACCTTTTTAAAACGAATGATGAATATATAGGCTTCTAAACATCTTTAGGTGAATACATTCTAAAACCGGTGTGTGTATCGAATTCAGTACGCGGTAAACATTTTACGTCGTCTCAAAATATTATGGTTGTTTCATTCCAATCAAACAATACTGTGAGCCGATCGAGTCATTTTCTTTGCTTGGAAAGGAAATGTGGTTTCCGTATTAATTTAGTTCCTAGCAAAATAGGTACTAGTTTTAATTTAAATTAAACTTTTTTTGTATTAACGGCACCTGTAAGCATTAATTATGAAATTCCCTTTATAGAATGTGGAGGAGACATAAATGATGATTCTGGCTACATTACCACTCCGGGTTATCCGAATCAGCTTCAGGCGCATATAATATGTGACTGGACATTTCGAGCAGGAATCGGTTTCCGCTATGTTTTCGATTTCGCATTTATCAAGCATGAGGTGAATTCTCGAAAGATTAATAAATGGTGATTTGGTAAAACTTCCAATGTTGAAATCTTTGCAACAGAAGTTGTTTTGCACAAAGTTTGTTTGTCCTGTATATTGCATCTCATATATGAACAGGTTATAGTCTCTTTAATTGTTTGTCCTAATTCCCGCTTCTATCATTAATTGATGTTCCTTCTCCCACTCCATGATTTACCAAAAATAAAATTATTTTCTTCAGTTGCATAATTCAAATAAGAATTCCTGTTCATTATACAATGAACCGGAATTCTAATTAAATATTTCTTGCATGTTTTTTTTATGTTTTTATTTTTTCATACTTTTCATATTTTTTACACGAAAATTATAAAAATAAAAAAGTATATATTTTTTAAGAATTTCTACCAGACTGCATACAATGAAGTTGGCTGTTATCCGGATATTTATATTGCTAATGGTCTAAACAGGCTAGTGGATTACTACGGTTTTGTGGATCGCATTTTTTGTTCTAATGAAACACGATTTGTATCGACAGCAGATTTAATCACGATACGTTATAATGACCGAGCTGCTATGTATGAAAAGCAAAATATGCGTGAACGTGGAATACCCTCGGAGGAAATTTATGCTCCATTTCGAATCGCCTACTTCAAAGTACTGCTCTCTTATCAATATTTCTTTAACTGTTTGTATGAATTTTGCTCTCTTATTAATATCATGGAATTCCACAATATAAATGTATTGCATCAGTAGTTGAAAATTAGTTGATGGACGAACTTTTTCTTTTATTTCTACTGCCTTACAATGCGCACTATTCGCTATCTTTTAATAACCTTAAATTTTTAAAATTACTCGTAGATCCTTCAAATTTATCAGTTTTGAAACATTATTATATCGTTCGGTTTCCTGAAATATGTGAAACGGATAAGTGGTGCCGAGTTGTTCGACAAAGAAAAAACCCAATAAAAACTTGACTTTCTTTTTGACCGTTTTGTAGATTTTTATAAGCAATTGATTGTATGTGAGAAGCTAAATTTTGCTGTACTTTCTAATTTCTATTCAGTAATTTCACTTTCAGGTAGCAGCTGATTTCGATGAAAATGCATGTATGTATCACGTGAAAAGGAATAAAACAATTGAACTGAAAAGTGCCAAAGTTCCGAGATATTCAGTCGCCACATCACCTGCTATCGGTCTTTATTCTTTCATGCAAAATAATTGGACATGCTTTACATAGTCAGATGTTGTTTACATATTTGTATGATCACCATATTCCGCTTAAAGGGTGAAAATCTTGAAAAAATGATTGGTTTTAAGAAATCACGAAATTAAATTTGGATTTTTATGTAAAGCTCGAAAATCTTCACTAATTTTAGACTACTGCCATCTACTCATAGAACGGCAATTTCTGTCAGGCACTACAGTATTACGTTTCAAAAATTTTTCCTCTTCTGAAAGTTCATTTTGGAAACCTAACAGTAGATGCTTGGACACTGAAAGCTATGTGTTTGTAACAGGTAATTAATCTTCCCAATCTGAGTTATATTTTGCTGTGTTGTTTGATCTTGTCATTCTCTTTATAGCATCTTACAATTCAGTATCCCAAATTTCCAAAAAAAATGGGGAGTTACGAGATTAATTTTTAGTGTCACTATCCTTAGATATATTAATCACTAAATATTATACTTGTATGATTTAATTTGTGTATCATTTAAAGACTGAAGAATTTCAGCGGTTGGTAATGAACCATGGCCTTTTGAAGCACGGTTTTGCGACGGATCCTTAAAAAAAACTGCTAATTTCACAGTGGCACTACCACACAGAACTTTTGATATTCATGTTTTCCAAAGGCTGCATTTATCGTCAATCTCTTTCAATCTCACCGTCCAGTTCTTACGTAACTTTTGTTACGTGAATATTTGTTACAACCGATTTCTTCTACTATCATTTTCAAGAATATCAAAATTCTGCTTTATGAATGATATGCTTCCGCTTTCTCGCGATTTATTTAAATATTGTGACATTATTTCAGCTTGCGGTGGTTTAATTCAAGGCCCGGAATCGGGTATTTTAACAAGTCCTGGTTTTTATGGAAAAGAAAACAGCACTTACGAACCTGATATGCAGTGTGTTTGGAGTTTGAAAGCTCCAGAGGGACAAATTGTTAAGGTTCGATCAACATTTGTAGAAAGGAAAAGTCCTGATGTTTTGTGTGGTGCTCAGGATGATTATAAGGCAGTAAGCGGAAGTATAATGACAACAACATAGGCTTAGCTTGCTATCTTTTGATACCCGTGGCTTTACTTATATTTTCATGGAGTATAATTCAGTTTGGACTATTTTAAGGACTGCTGATTTATTTATTGATTTCGTTCTACTTTTCAAGTTTTGATAGAACACCGGAAAACTATTCCAGACAGAGTTTTAGATTAAAATAACTGATATGGATTTGGAATATAATGTGGAATGCAAGCACGATTTCTTGAAGCTGTTTGAAGGTAATTATTTAAAGCTATATCTTAAGTGAGAAAATGATTATATATGATATTCTAATAAGTATGGAATACTTTTCCACTGTTTTCTTCTTAGAAAATTGAAACTTACCATTTGATCTAGGGATAAGCTAGCGATTACAACAAAAAGATCATGAATAATGATACTTCTTTTTAAAAGTCTTTTAGAATGATTTATTTAAAGTAATTGCATGAGAGTGG